ATATTTCTGGTTATTTCACAATATGATCATTAAATCCGATAATTATTGCATGATTTTGACTTATTTTGAATCAATTATCTATGATTTAAGGTATAAAAGGATTCAATTCCTGGTTTTAAATTACCACAAGAATTACATTTTATTTGTTGAGACTTTACAATACGTGAATAGCGGTCAAAATGCTTAAAGTATTTGTCATAATGTTTGCGATTATATGTGTGGCCCAAAGCCAGGGTAACGGCTCGAGTGCATCGGTCTCTGCGACCAGTGGTAACGGAGGCGCTTCGGGAGGCGGTGGAGGCGTCGGAGTGGGTGTTGGAGTGGGCGGTGGCGGTGGAAGTGGCGGCTCCGGAGGAACGGGTGCCGTATCTTCTTATGGCACTGGAGGAGGAGCCGGAAAATAAACAATTACATCGTTATAATTGACCCCAATTTTGTTGCGCAAGAACTTTAAATGTCTCCCAATTCAGAATTTATGTATTTTAATCTAGTTATAAATTAATGCTATTATAATTGGTAATGCTTCATAGTTGTGAATAAAGTGCTATTTTTGGTTTCATTTTTCAAATGTAATTTTTATTTAAACAATATATTTCAGAATTTATGTATTTTAATCTAGTTATAAATTAATGCTATTTTAATTGGTAATGCTTCATAGTTGTGAATAAAGTGCTATTTTTGGTTTCATTTTTCAAATGTAATTTTTATTTAAACAATATACGGGTAACATTTATTTTAATGTTATAAAATATGTTGTAAGATATCCATTATTATGCTATAAAATTAGCAAAACAGTGAAAAGTTGCTCAAATGTTACTAAATGTGATAACTTCTGAAAGGTGATAAAAAGGTAAAATAAAATGCTCTCAAAATACTCTTAAAGTGCTATATAATATGCCCCCAAACTTGAAGAAGATTATTTTCATTCAGGATAAGAAGTTATTTAACTTACAATAAATGATTTATTTCTAACAATATAAGACTATTGCTAATAATAATTTGTAGCCTTGATTATAAAGATTAATTAATACTTTTGTATGTGTGTTAAAACAAACCAGAATGAATTTAATCTGACATTTTATTTTGGATATTAAAACGGCATATGAATAGATAAAACATATTAATAATTACAGTATAATTATTGCGAAATTATAATTTTTATCCAGGTATCATATTTAACAAATGTTTTTGTTTTTACAAATAATTATTTTTGCAAACATTTAAAATGATGGTTGAATTAAAAGCAATAATAATTATATTATTTAATAGCATTTTATCTGAAGTATTTTGTGACGCAACTGGATTAAATGATAACTCAAATATAATATCCAATGAATTGATCGACACTGATCATTTTCAAAACATATTGAATTTTAAAATTAACCCGGATATCAATAATAAACAGTTGGACTCAATACCGATTAGTAACCTAGATGAATTTTCCACAACAACACAATCTAATGGCGTTCAGGACACCGACATATCGTTGGCAACGACCAAACCTATAGCCTCGTGGAAAAGGCTATACAAAAGGCCTGATATATTCTGGAGACCAGTTATGAAACCCAGAGAAGCCGTTGCGAAATCAAGACCTGATAAATACATACACAAGAGTTGGATGTTTGGGCCCCAAAACAATCATATAAGTGGCGATCCGTCTGAGCCCTCATTCATCGTAATTGACGAGACTTTCGGCTCTTTAAGTGATGAACCGATGAATAAGTTGGAAGAAGAATCCAATCCATCGGACGAACAGTTGCTTCAATATACCAATTATGGCAAAGATGGCGATTATTATCCACAAATGAATGCCAATATTTTTCATCCGTGGTATCAATCATTGAAACCTAATTTTGTAAGTTTATTATCTGAAGACCCGTTTGTAAATATGAACGAAGAATTGATTGTTAGCCATCCCTGGAAAGTGATATTTAGAGACGGTTTGGAGTTTCAAAAAGCAATTAAACCAAGTATTTCTTCATTTACTACTACTACTACTGATGCCAATCAAAGTAAATCAACAATTTCTTCGCTCATTTCAACAAATTAAACTTTTTAAACAAAACTAGAATAAAAATACTTTTATTTATTTACACAGTATTATATTATATTTTTAAGTAAACAATAACTAAATGGTATATTTTATTATTAATTTAATTAGTTTTTACCACAATCAAAACTACAGGAAATGCAAAAAGGTTTAAATAATGATAAAATGTTTACTTTAATATTTTAGTGGATCTCTTTTAAGAAAGTGAGTTCACTATCGCTCAAGTTATTGATCTCTTTAATAAATTTACATAAATTAATGTGAAGAAATCCTTCATAAAACTGACCGCTTATCACATATATGTGACCGACAGTGAGATCAACGCCACAGTGAGAGCCCCAAAATGGACTGAAAATATCGGCTGAATTTGAAGTGTCATTCCATCCCTTATAGACTTGTTGTGGTTTGTGCTCAAAACGTCTGTAAATAGGCGTTTGCTTTCCATCCGTTCCGGTAGTGTTGACCACATTTTTGCTCGCAATTAGGGTTTCAATCATGAAATCGGATGATATGAAGAAGTTTTTAATATCAGGCAATTTGCACATACATGCCATCGAGTAATTTACAACATATAAAAACATTATAACTTTGCAAATATTCATTTTATTTAACTTTATTTGTCAAATACAAACTGAAGAATGTATGTATAAGGTAAAATGCACATTAATTATATTCATAATTATATATCATAAACTTCAATAACAAAGAGATTATATTTTATAAGAAGATCAATTTGCATTTTACTGATACGTTTGTACTGTATTTATATTTCATTTTATTGATTAACAAAAGTATTTCAGGAATCTAATAAAAGTTTCAATAATAAATATATTTGATTTCAAAAATGTATTAATAACTGTAAAATAATGACATCATTACATTTGTTAATTAGCAAACAATATGGTTAAGTCAAAAATATCTAATATCTATTTATAATAAATAGATAAACTTCGGACTAAAATAACTCACAATCTATTAAATTAACATTATTAAAATTAAATCAATATATAAAAATAGTTATTGATTAGAGGGCTAATCAATAAAACCATATCAAACTGTCAAATACAGCATAGAAACCTATTAACACAAGTCACGTATACAACAAATAAATTTAGTTGATAATATATGGATTACTTATTAGTCTAATATAATTTACTTTACAGTAAATAATGTAAAATTAGACAAAGTTTAAATCCTTTTTAGGGACAAATGTGTTTGTAATTGAGTTACATTACAATGTAATTGTGAATTTAGGTCAAAATCTCTAACTTATAATTTAATTTTAAATAAAAAACATCTGATTATATACTTAATATTAAACAACAATTATAATAGGGTTTTAAATAAATGATACTTTTGTTATTGAAATGAAGGTTTTGTAGTTTTATATTTAAATAAATAATCAAAAGATATAAATTGTCAACAAAAGTGCAATTTTTAAACAAATGCAATGAAAACGTTAAAATTCACATTTTCTGTGTTATTAAATGAAATATTATATGTTTTAGCCGTTATATCAGACAATCCTATAGAAAATGATGAAACCATCGATTATAAGGGTCGACGAGATCTCATTAAAAGCGATGGAAAATCAAATTGGGTTTACGGCGACACATCTCTTACTGGTATATGTTATACATTTATAAACATATTATTATTATTAATTTAGTTAAATATTATAACCTATTTATTAAGAAGACACATATGGATTAGAAATGGTTAGCAATACCGATACGATGGACACTACCGACGAATCTGACCAGAAAATCATGTCAGTGCCTGTGATGTGGCACAACGATAGGCCCACTCGTCGACCCCGAGAGCGGCCAACAATTCCCAGAAGACATTCCACCAGAAGTACTGTCGCACCGAAGAGAAGACCACTGAAAATGTCGACAAGATATCCGAGACACAAACCGACCGTCGATTCTGAGGTATGGAATTGGGATCAGAAGAAACCGGAAGCGAATAAGCCGTTGAGTCATCGCGAAGTGATTAAATACCCGGAGAACGGCGTCGGGGGTAATAACGCGGGACAGTTTGGGGGCAACGCGTGGGGAGGAGTGGGCGATAACAATGGAAACGGTGGGGCGAGTATTGGCGGCGATTCCGGTAATGGACACGGAGGTAGAGAAGGGGATTGGAGTGGTGTTGGAGGCAATAATTTGGGCGATTTTGGAGGAAACGCATGGTTTGAGTCATTTTAGTATTTATTTTGTGAGATATTTTAATTATCTTTTGTACACTATTAAGGGGTGGAGTGGGTGTTAATAACGGAAATGGTGGCGGAAATGTGCTTGATAATTCAGGGAACGGTAGGGGCAATACTGGCAGTTGGAATGGCATTGGAGGCAATAATAACGGTAATAATATCGGTAACGCAAAGGGAGGTATTGGCGATAACAACGGTGTGGGCGGCGCTAACATTGGGAGTCACGCGGGAAACGGTTTGGGAGGTGTCGGCGAAAATAACGGCATCGGAGGAAATGGACAGTGGACTCGACCCGAGGCTAGCAATATAGGCAACGCTATCGGAGGCATCGGTACTCTAAACGGGAACGGAGGCGTCAATATTGGTTCAAATTCTGGTGAATTAATTATAATATGAATTGAGTTTTATTATAAGTGAAACTAACATATGATAGGCAACGGTGTCGGCGGATCCGGCAATTGGAATGGTGTGGGCGGTAATGGGATGGAGGAGTTCAGTGGCAATTCAATCGGAGGCATGGGCTCAGCCAACGGCAATGGGGGCGCCAATGTTGGCGAATGGTCGGGCAATGGTAACGCTTAATTGGTTTATTTATAAATGATAATTGCAAACACTGTGTAGCTAACAATTAAAATGAACAGGGTTTGGCGGCCATGGTGAATTTAATGGAGTGGGAGGCAACAGTGGTGGCGCCAATTCGAGCAATTCATTGGGAGGTTTTGGTGATATGAACGGCAATGGGGGCGGAAATGTTGGCTCCAGTTCTGGCAATGGTTTCGGTGGGTTAGGCATCACTAATGGCATCGGAGGTAATAACGGCTCAGAAAACTCGTTTAACGGAAGGTCTGTTATATTTGTTAAATGTTTTATTATATTTCATTAATAATAACATTTGATTCAATGAAGGGGTGGAAAGGGAACTAATAATGGAAACGGCGGCGGAAATGTTGGCACCAATTCTGGCAATGGTTTGGGAGGTATCGGCAATAATAATGGAAAGGGTGGCAATAATAGCGGACAAAACTCTGGCAATGGTTAGTGTTGATTACGTTTACCACGTATTAAATTGTGACACAATTGTGATGTTTGGATAGGTTTTGGAGGAGAGGGCACTCATAATGGGAACGGCGGACATAATATTGGCATCAATTCTGGTAACGGAATCGGAGGATCACATAACAAGTCTTCGTATCAAAATCCAGACTTAACTGATGGCAACTTATTATATAATAATTATATAAAAGCATTTCGATTATGATTGTGATTATAGTAATATATTTTGTATTTATAGTCTAATTAAATTGTTTGTGATGTATTAAAATAAGAAAGTAATTATTTTAAGGTCAATACAAATAAAAAAATTATGTTAAAAGTAGTAAAATTTATAATTATAAACAAGGTTGACACATCGATGCTATACGTTAACCACAATTCGGGGGTGCATCCAAGATTTAAAATTTTTTAATTCTAGGATGCTTTTAGAATTCAGAATTTAAAATATATTTAACAAATTTTTAGTTATACTAGTATTTCAATTGTCAAATTTGTTTTGTCAAATCCCATAGAATTAGCATTGCCATAGACTTAATGATGTCATAATTTGGTAAAAATTTTTAATGTAATTAATTTTTTATTAAACGTTAAGTAGAAAAATATTTTCCATTGGTTTTGCGATAGAATACAAATTTCAATGTAAAACCTTATTCTCAATTTTTAAGGTATAAAATATGTTTGATTTACCACTAAATGTGTTAACGATTATAATTTCAAAGCAGCTGTCAATTTGAGCCATTTTTGAATTAATTTTACATTCAAACCAATGATCTAAAAAATAAATTCAATGAATAATGACATTTGTTTTCGTAATTATTCATAAATATAGCTCTTATTATTATAGCGTATCTTCTCTTGCATTAAATTATTGACTTATTTTTAAATAAAATATTCTCAGAAATAAAACATGAAATTTAAGTTTTTGTTAGTTTTGGTTTATATTCATTGTATTGACGCAAATGAAAGCAAATCCAATGACGCGGACAAACCATTAGAGATGGCAAAAGTAAGTGCAGCCAAACTGGACGGACAGATATCTGTGTTGAGGAAGAGTGACATCAAATCTAAGGTTAAAGTGGATGTAAACGGAAACAAATGGATTTACGACGAGAACAGTGGCGAGTGGTTGCACTTTAGCGACGATATTGACTCGAGTCAGGACTCCGACAACTCTATGATCGGCGCAATGAATGGCTTCAATGGACTCGCGGACGACAATCACGAGGACGAGGAGTTTGACGAACCCTTTCCCGACATATTCTCATCGCTATTCCACCTGAAGAATAAGCCATCGGAAGGCCCACAGCCTAATGGCTTCATTTACGGCCCACAATACCCATCAAATTACCCGCAAAGCTATCCAAACTCTGCTCAACAACACCCGTCTCTTTCAAACTCTAATAATAATAATAATAACATCAATAATGCAAACGAAGAGGAATATCACGGATCGGTAAGAGATGTCATTTACGGACCAATGCCTGCGCCGACGTCTGGCGTCGGGACCTTCGAGGAGGAGCTTAACGATAACGATGAGAATGCGTTGACGTCGTGGCAACATCTCAACAATATTTCTCAATACTTTCCCATTCCCGGCGGTCCGGGGTATCCATCTTTGCCGGGATATACGGGACAACCTTACGGCCAACGCCCGGTGCCCTCCGCCAGGCCTTTCAGACCGGGCCGTAGGCGAGAGCTGACGACCGCCGCAACTGAAAGTCCTGACGAACCGTTTTATAGCGAAGAATCAATAATTAT